ATATTACTTCACTACGAGCACTAAATATTCTAAACAACACAATTATCAAAATTAAGTGACACAAAGTTTGTCAAATTTCACTCTGGAAGGCATCCAATGAACAAAACCCCAAAGGCTTGAAACAACTCAGTAAACATGTACCGAGAACGAATTCTTCCACGGATCATCGATTTGTCGAAGACTAATGAAACTGCACAGTAAACATACACTCGCTTCGTAAATAGCATCCAATAGACACAAAGAATTTGAAGTGCAAAATAAACCCGCACCAAGTTCTACAATTTTCATTTTAGAGACCATCCACTAGACAGACTGACGATGTTGTGACATCCTACTCAAATAAACAGGCCCTAAGCTTGAAAACTCCAATTTGGAGACCGTTGGACAACGATCATGAACTTTTAAGAACACTGAAAACAGGAACCAAGTTTTGTAAGTTTCACTAGGTAGCACATCTATTGGACGTAAAAATAATGACCAGGTTTGACAAGAGCCACTGCAAAGACAACACCATTGATTAAACACCGAGGACTTATAACTATACAGTCAAATGTGCCCAAGTTCCAGATTGATTCAAAGAGATTATTCATTGGGCAAACACGCCTTTGAACTTAAAGAAACACCAAGTCTGAATAATTCCGCCGTAGAGACCATCCTAAGACAAAGACCCTCCACAGGGGCACATCTGGCGACCAAGCTTTTACTCAAGGAGGCGTTTGTTTTTGTGAACGACTGAGTAGACCAGGGTCGAGATCATATTGGGTTTCAGGGTCACAGGGTTCGACTTACGTACATGACATATCGCTATTGCTCCGTCTCATCTCCGAGCATTGAGCAGTAAACTCACCGGTTCGGGCTTCACGTATCCTGACCGGTTTTGGGTCTGATGTTTACTGGGCAATCACAACTTTATATAACTTTCTAACCCGTGCCCACTGGATTGTAAGTCGCCGGGTGAAATTGTGACGTTGTTACGAGTGATACATGTATTTTGAACGTATAGTGTGATAAATAATTTTCTAAAGATTTTGTGTAGATATAATAAGTTCTTGAAAAATAGCTTGTACGATTGATCCATCAAATTAGGTTTAAGAAAAAAATAAGTAAGTTACTACTAATGAGCTAAACATGTTTGAAAATCTTTTCTCATATCGACTAACACATTGTTTTCTGTTTCAATGTTTAGCATACGCAATGGTTTATAAGGGTATCTCAGTAAGAGTAGAAGATTTTTATGGCATTTGATTTTAACTTGTCAGATCAGTTGTATGTGGGATGACCACCCAATATTTCTTGTCACACCCAAATTGTAGACTATCTAATAGTTTCAGAGATGTGTATAGAGATTTTAATTTGCCAAATAACAATTTCCACGTTGGAATTATTGTAGATGTAAGCATCAATAAATAAGATGGTCCATGGAACAAGAAAAAACCCCAGCGGAACTGAATTAATTCAATATTAAACGAACTATAAGGTAAAGCAATTTTCGAGCACTGACTCTTGTGTTCTGCCCCAATTCACCAAACCACATCTCTTACTGAGAAGATTGCTATATACGAAATGTAAGTTAGACCTACTTTGTCCTAGTTGCAGCTATTGTGGAAACTATAACTACTCCTCAGGTCGGCGTCGAGGTTAGTAGAAAGAGAGGGCAAAGGTTGTCAAGTTCAAGAGATAATCTGCAAGTGTAAACTACTCGTGAGGCTACCACCGTCACGTAGTTGTGTTGTGGTCTTAAACCTCTCACACCCCAGACAGTTACAAGACTCGCAGTTCTCGGCTCTGCTGACATCAGTTCTGTACTACCACCGTCACGTAGTTGTGTTGTGGTCTTAAACCTCTCACACCCCAGACAGCTACAAGACTCGCAGTTCTCGGCTCTGCTGACATCAGTTCTGTACTACCACCGTCACGTAGTTGTGTTGTGGTCTTAAACCTCTCACACCCCAGACAGCTACAAGACCCGCAGTTCTCGGCTCTGCTGACATCAGTTCTGTACTACCACCGTCACGTAGTTGTGTTGTGGTCTTAAACCTCTCACACCCCAGACAGCTACAAGACTCGCAGTTCTCGGCTCTGCTGACATCAGTTCTGTACTACCACCGTCACTTAGCTGGTTGTTGTGGTCCCTCTCACACCCCAGACAGCTACAAGACCCGCAGTTCTTGGCTCTGCTGACATCAGTTCTGTACTACCACCGTCACGCAGTTCTGTTGTTGTGGTCTTAAACACCTCACACCCCAGACTGCTACAAGACTCGCAGTTCTCGGCTCTGCTGACATCAGTTCTGTACTTCCACCGTCACGTAGTTGTGTTGTTGTGGTCTTAAACCTCTCACACCTCAGACAGCTACAAGACTCGCAGTTCACCGTCACGTAGTTGTGTTTTTGTGGTCTTAAACCTCTCACACCCCAGACAGTTACAAGACTCGCAGTTCTCGGCTCTGCTGACATCAGTTCTGTACTACCACCGTCACGTAGTTATGTTGTTGTGGTATTAAACCTCTCAACACCCCAGACAGCTACAAGACTCGCAGTTCTCGGCTCTGCTGACATCAGTTCTGTACTACCACCGTCACGTAGTTATGTTGTGGTATTAAACCTCTCTCACCCCAGACAGCTACAAGACTCGCAGTTCTCGGCTCTGCTGACATCAGTTCTGTACTACCACCGTCACGTAGCTGTGTTGTTGTGGTCTTAAACCTCTCTCACCCCAGACAGCTACAAGACTCGCAGTTCTCGGCTCTGCTGACATCAGTTCTGTACTACCACCGTCACGTAGTTATGTTGTTGTGGTATTAAACCTCTCACACCCCAGACAGCTACAAGACTCGCAGTTCTCGGCTCTGCTGACATCAGTTCTGTACTACCACCGTCACGTATTTGTGTTGTGGTCTTAAACCTCTCACACCCCAGACAGCTACAAGACTCGCAGTTCTCGGCTCTGCTGACATCAGTTCTGTACTACCACCGTCACGTAGTTGTGTTGTGGTCTTAAACCTCTCACACCCCAGACAGCTACAAGACTCGCAGTTCTCGGCTCTGCTGACATCAGTGCTGTACTACCACCGTCACGTTGTTGTGTTGTTGTGGTCAGAAACCTCTCACACCCCAGACAGCTACAAGACTCGCAGCTCTCGGCCCTGCTGACATCAGTTCTGTACTACTATCGTCACGTAGTTGTGTTGTGGTCTTAAACCTAGCACACCCCAGACAGCTACAAGACTCGCAGTTCTCGGCTCTGCTGACATCAGTTCTGTACTACCATCGTCACGTAGTTGTGTTGTGGTCTTAAACCTCTCACACCCAAGACAGCTACAAGACTCGCAGTTCCCGGCTCTGCTGACATCAGTTCTGTACTACCACCGTCACGTATTTATGTTGTGGTCTTAAACCTCTCACACCCCAGGTACCACCACCGTCACGTAGTTATGATGTGGTCTTAAACCTCCCACACCCCAGACAGCTACAAGACTCGCAGTTCTAGGCTCTGCTGACATCAGTTCTGTACTACCACCGTCACGTAGTTATGTTGTGGTCTTAAACCTCTCACACCCCAGACAGCTACAAGACTCGCAGTTCTCGGCTCTGCTGACATCAGTTCTGTACTACCACCGTCACGTAGTTATGTTGTTGTGGTATTAAACCTCTCACACCCCAGACAGCTACAAGACTCGCAGTTCTCGGCTCTGCTGACATCAGTTCTGTCCTACTCAGCCACCTCGTTGCGTCGTGATTTGCATTTTAATCCTCGAATTCCCTATTCCGCATATTAGCTTATTCAGGTCGAGTTAGAGTGGTTATCAAATATCCAATTATAGTGGATCCTTTATGGAGTTCTTTCCTACATCACGAACATAAAAACTCGCACGTTTCTTGTTAGTAGAAATATTGAATTAGATTAGGCCTAAATTTTCTTGCGTATGAACTTATTGATATAAAATCCAGTTATTAACAGTATTTGACTTTGGATAGTTTTGCTTGAACCTTTTACAATTATCCTTTTAATCAAGGACAATTAACGTCAACAAATAAATTAAATGATAAAAATGTTCAAAGACTTCGTGTGTAGGCTAATACCTTTTAATCAATAGGGTACATAGGTAAAATCTGTATTCTTGTAGAGCATAGATTTTCTATTGCCGTGGCTACCTTTTAAGCCTACGTGCATTTGCTATTACAAAAATAGTGACTTTACCGGTAATGAATTAATAACTGTATATGAACGCTGTTACGTGGGTCTACTAGTTACCTTAGTCAGGTAATCATCTTGTGATACTGAGTATTGTTTACATAACTTTAACTAGCTCACAATTATTATGAAGATTTATGGGATCCACACTCCCAAATATTGTTATTTCTGATGACCAACAAATCCCAATAAAAATGTAGCAAAAATATAGATGGAATGACATAAAATACTGACGGTAAAATCTCAACATTCAAAGTGAAAGAGTCCCTTATTATTTATGGTTATTTTATTAAGGAAAAATACTTAGTTTACGTCTTTGAATGTTTCTTTTTCATCAAAAGATAGCACCATTGACTATTAGATGTTGATTAATCAAAGGTCTGCTGAATAATGTAAATAGCCCCTGTGAGACAAGGCGAAGTCCATTGGCGTTGTTCCTTTTTACTAACATCCACAGACCACTAAAAACACACTCACCTTTACAAAATACAAAAACATTACCTATCTAAATACAACAATGGTTTCCGTAAAAATTAATTTCAATGCATTGATGGAAATGTTAATTTTTAAACATTTGTAACTTGGGAACCGTTAATTCTGGGCAATTCTTGTTTAAAATGCATAAAAAATTGGTTTGAAAACTAGTTTTCGTGATAAGCCTACAGTATTTTATAAAAAATTTTCTACTTCCACTTTAGGGCTCTAAAATTGTATGAAATACTTTTATCACCTTGCTAGTAACAAAAGTTAAATAATATTATTAAACCGGGTCATTTTTCGATAATTTTTGTCTACTTTTGACTCACCTGAGGCACTCCGGTTTGGTTGTAACAGTCGAAGGAGGCTTGGGCCTGTAGCGCGTACTCCTCATGATGCACTTCATACGCGGTCGCCAACACCACGCACCACAACACATACGCGGCACACCACATCTCGGTCCTCGTACGCGGCCACCGGCACACTGACTACACTACCACACTACCACTACACGAGCAGTGTGAATGACTCCCCTCCACCACGCCAAGGCTTACTACGACCATTCATACCTCTGATACTAGGACTGCTGACGAGACATTGGCACGTCTTTGCTCAAGGTTCATTTTTTGGTAGCTCATAATATAGGATACCATGAATGTATGCTTGTTTGCTTGCACAAAGATTTCGAAAACGGCTCTGTCGATCCTTCAAATGTTATTTATTTCTGGCTGGTTTCATAATGTTAATAATTTGTAATAACGTGTTTCATGCTGTTAAAACTGCCAACGAAAATCTAATTATGTAAACAAATTTAATTGAAACTCAAAAAAATCTTCAGTGAGCCTGAAATAAGAACAAAAATTGTAAACATCAACAAAATAAAATAAATTAAGATAACAGCTGACTATAAAAAAAAAACTTTAAACCAAAGAGGGTTTTTAATTTATGACTAGGACAGTGAGATATCCTTACAACTGGACTTAGCGTCTCATAGTAAAACCGACGGCACCGTTGATTTTATTGGGTTTGTTTGAGTTTTTTGCCGAAGCAATCTTGGGTTGGAAAGCCAAGCAACGCTCGGTGCTCCTGGTACTGTTTATTGTTTGAAAAAATTACTGCGGAAATTTTCCATCACGATTTCGGTATTCAACAATTTTTTTTCAATTTTGGAAATTGCAATCTGATAATATTTTTAGAATCGAAAGTATTAAAGCACGTAAAAATTACTACACAAAACCAAGGGAGTATATCTATGACAAAACGCAACCAAAGCTGAAATACTTCCCGTTGCAGCAAGCCTCCAGATTAATCGAATTTTCATCTGCCTGATTAGATTTTCATTGGAATATCGACTTAAAACATCAAATGTATTCCCTATTAATGAATGTTCTACCTTTTAAACTTGGACATTGAGATACATTTCTATATTTTAAGTTAAAAATCATTCAATAGTTTTCGGGAACAGACAATATATTGAGCAACGTGTTAATTTGTATTGCATTTTATCGCGGTTTCTACGCCAGTGGCCATTTTGTTACGTTTTGAAAGGTTACAGTCCAAACCCTGATCTAGTTACTATCTAATGTCAACCTTTTTGTTGGGTAGCATCATTGACATAAGGTATGTTAGCTTCCAACGTATTAGGTGTGTATTCATATGTTCTATCATAGACACAAAGAATTAAGTATAGACTGTCAGCCATGCAGCAGTTACCATGGTTGCCGTAGGTTCTGGCGCACACCGATGGGAGCGCCGTGTAGTTAGGTAGCACGTACGCCTTAACTACATGGCACTCCCAGCGATTTGTCATGGTAATTGCCTATGGTAACTGCAGCATGGCTGACGGTCTATATTTAATCCTTTTTGTCTATGGTTGTATGTAGGTGCCATCCCCGACCGCTTTTGTTATTTGAATAAACAATAACAAACATTTCCGAAATTTTCTCCATGTTCCAAATTGCACATCTTCACCTTTCTCTGAACCAACAACGTACGTATATCAAGAACACATTTCCGTGTGACATTCATAGCATCAAGTACACACAAGAGTGTTCTTCATGACAGGAGAGGCAAGATAGACCCGTCACTCCACTTCGCCTTGATCCGCCTCGAGCTCTCCGCAATGTCTTATTAAATTACCGCTTATTCAAATAACCCTTAAACCCTCCATTAAATCAAATGTTTCGCCTGAAATGGAAAATACCTCACATTGACGTCCCCGAGTAATCAGGCGCTGTCAAAATATAATTTGCACCACGAAGATGGATGACAAGCCGCTTGGAGTGATTGGCGTTAATATTGGATGTGGAGCTTCTGTTGGCTTGGCTGTGGCTTAATTAGTTGAGTGTGTAAATTGGATTATGTCCAGATCTTGGAAGAAGGGGGAAGTACTTGAAAATTACGTACTTGGGTTGGGGTCATAAAATAGTTGTTTCAAAAACTTCAAATTATTTGGTCACCATGTTTTGTTTTTCATGTACCATTTGCACATCCTAGGACGCAAGATTCCAGCTCGGAATTGTTTTACACATTAATTCAGGCTAGTTATAGTGGGTCGTGGCATTATCACTTAGGTAAATCCATTAGTGATTTGAATCCGGGATCTGGGCTCCGAAGCCCCACACACTTTTTAAATTTGTTTGAATGGTAGTTGATGATTCGAAACTGCCGAGTCCTGCAGTCTTGGGTTTTTTTTCAATAGCATTGACTAAAAAAACAGTTGGTTGGAGTGACAAAGCTATATGGATCATATCACTCCAATCACACAACTTACAGCCGAAAATACCCACCCAAGCGCCACTGCACCGTTGCCGATATATGAGGCATTGGTATCAGCTTTCAGCTAAGCTCGTTTAACATTCGATGGATACCTTCATTACACACAACCGATGTACAACCAACAATACCAGTAAATAGTGGAAAAGCGAGAAATGTTTAAAGATGCAGAGCGGCAAAGAGAGAGAGCAAAAGAGGAAAAGTGATGTATGACTATAAAGAAATATCGATACAAAAGACAGAAAGATGAAAACTCAGAGAGATGGCAACCAACATAACCAGTTAAAAAAAAAAAAAATAGTTACGTAGTCAACAAGAGTAGGAGAGTGAAATCTGCTTCAGTTAAAAAGAGAGAAATAAGAGAAAGAGAAGGACAGTACAAAAAGTAAACAGATACATGACTACAAAAGTAACGGTAGACGATTAAGACCAATAGTAACCCAGAAATAAGCGAATACAATCAGCAACGCCAGAAACAGTAGCAGAGAGGCGCTGTAGGTAAAAAGAGAGAGAACAAGAGAGGATAGAGACAGAGAGTAATTACCTCTATCACGTGATGTCAGCAGAGCTCTGCAGCACGGCGAAGTCAATTAGATGGTGACAGGACGGAGGACCTGCGGTAGGAGTCCCTGTTATTAACTGTCTCCAACATAACCTCGCGGCCGTGGTGGGAATTGGCTGTAATAGGTCTGGGACAGCGAGCTGTGCAGTAACAATGAAGATTAGAGCAATAACAACCTTCTTCTCGGTTTTAAAAATATAATAAAAGGTGATTAGTGGGATAGAACCCTGGACCTCCAACGGGTGGAGCTGTGCAGAACAATAAACTGGTTGTAGCTAAATGACGACGGTGTATCGGCATTGAAAATATTTAAACATTCCATTTGTTTTGATTTTCCATTTATATATTTTGTTGTTATTAAGTCACCAACATGGCAATAACAAACAAAGATGTCACCTATGCAACAATGCATATCAGCTGATCGGCAATGAAGTAAAGAAAACAGGGATACCAAAATAAGCTTTTTGTCGTTAAACTGTGCCTCAAAGTACTTAGAATTTTGGTAACATTAAGAAACCACACTGAATTTTAGTGTAGTGCAGTATACAATCATTGATCATAAACTATTGAAATTCAAACGATTCAAATACAAATGTTGTGGTTTATAACATACACTACAAGCACTTAAAAGTGTTTTACAAGGGATTGTGGAAGACCTTGTGCATTTTACAAAATTTGCATTTAAAGTGATTCTTTCAGTTAAGGCTGGAAAGGTACATCTGTGACCAGAGCTGTCTTTGTCACACCCCAAGTATACACAAAAATGCTAATTTGTATCTAATTTTTTAGAAAAAATAAATTAATTACTGTACTTTATATTAATTATAGTGTTACAAAATTTATATTTGGTCTGAAGTTAAATACACAATCCCTTGGTGTTTAGTAGAGCTAATTAAATGTGTTTTGAAACATTAAAAGTCACATAGGTCATTAATTTATTGGCAATGTCCAAATAATTTTCATATTGTAAAGGAAGGCTGTTTCATGTGAGGTTTGCAGTGTGATTTAAACATGTTTTGTTTTTAGGTTAGGGATTTACCTACTATAATTAATTCAATATTGTCATTGATCCTTCGAAGGAGATAATGGTGGAATGTACAAGAATACAGCTTCGCAAGCCTTCAGAAGGTGATTTCTCTTAAGCTAAACAGCACTGTTCACATCAGTACAACGTATTGTATCTTTTGACATTGAAGGCGTTTAGAATTTACTGTCATTTTGTTACGTGGTATATGAAAATAAATATCGAAAACCAACTCATAGCTTGATTTTTTTTATTTACCTTACCACAAATTATTAGCTATACTAGTCCTAAATTTAAAGGGCTACTACCTATATTCCCATGCATATTGTATTTATTTTTAATTCTTAAAGAATGTTTTAACCTCAAAGACGGTAAAAACCAGAAAAATAAAAAACAGAAACAGGTACTTTTCCATCCGTATTGTTAGCCTGCAAAGTTTCCCTTTGCCGTGCCTACACACGGAGAAGTAAAGTACTTTTACCGTGCACTGCACGGTAATAGTATATTTCAATTCGACTTGCATGTAAAACACTATCTCGCCCCGAAATCAGACTTTTGAGACGATACTTTTTTATCACGATGAAGAAAAAACTACTGTATCAAACTTAGAAAAATCTGATATTTCGTAAACTATTAATTTTTCTTTGTTGATGTCAGGCAAAGTATTGTTTGTGTAGCGAAAGTAACGTTAGTGTCAGGAAAAGTCAGCTGATCACTGTTTGTTTTTGGTGTATGGAAATTGAAGATTTTCGAAGTTCTTAGCTGTATGGAAATGGACTATTTTTGAATACAGAGTGATGAAAAAGCCTTTAACCTGCACTTAGTCAGCTGATGAAATAAACAGTTAATTGCAACGGCCTATTTTATTTTCTGGAATATAAAAATAAAATAATTTATTTTACGTCCTAAATAAATTGTGCTATGAGTTTAAAATGTACTAACTTTTCTGTGTAGTATTATGATAGACTAAGCGAGTATGTTTTATCTATGGTATGATGTACAGTATCGCTCGGTAAGCTTTACCGGGTGAGTAACGTAATATACTACAGTATTACATATTGTTTTGGTCTATTTGGAACTAATTTAAATGAAGCAGTCAGCGTTAAATATATCAATGCTTTACTGAA